CCGTACCAGGACGAAACGGGCGTTCTGTGGTTTATAGTTCTGAATAGTGGTTTAGCTAAGATCAGTTAGTGATATAAAACTGTGAAAATGTCATACTTTTATCTTGACTGTCCCGACCGTTGCTGCTACCTTGACGTGGTGGTCGGGCTTGCCTATCGTGATGATCCAATCGAGCTATGCTGGCTGGAACAATCGTTCCTCGAGGTCCTACCATGCCAGACAGGTTGGTTGAAGAGCGGTGAGACTAAAAGCAGCAAACCAAAGGTCCGAAGGCGAAGTCGTACTGCTGACTGTACAGAGGTGTGAAAGCAGTAAGGTGTTTCCTTCAGACAACCAGCATGACAGCGATGCTGCCTTCCCACAAGGAGGGGTGGGGTTAGAAAAGGTCGACCCTAAAAATGCACACCTCGCCTTATCCCACGGATATCCGTCTCCGGCGGTAAGGTTTTTTTTGAAGAACGGAGCTAACACAAAAACTACCCACAAAAAGGTCGTGTGTGACCGACCTCAAGCAGTTGTCCCTTGGGCACTGCGGTCACGCTCTCAGGTCATTAAGACCACTTCTAACCCAATTTCCTTTTCAGGTACCTCTAGAAGAATCCTTCCACGGTGTGGGCAACCGGGAAGTGATAACTGCCCTCATACCTCTAACAACACTCAAGACCACTGTATTCATAATCAATCTCCTTCTTCAATTCCTACTACCTTGACTTTCAACACAAAACTTCCTCTCTCGGTTTCCTCCTCAAGTGTCACCATGGCCAACGATTCTAGTGCGCGAAACGCTATCCCAGGTCTACTGAAACCTCGCTCCAAACTACACATTGGAGCCTTCAACGTACGTACTTTAAGTCAAATCGGTCAACAGGCCTCCTTAGCTAAAACCTTAGAGTCGCGTACCATTGATGTATGCTGTGTCTCCGAAACACGCATACAGGATCCTAGTGTGGTCATTCACTTGACCTCACCTCGCCAAAATGGACAGCCAACGAAATACACCCTCCGTGTATCTGGCGACCCGATGGCTAGTTCTCGTGGACTTGCAGGTGTAGGTATAGCACTAAGTACAAGGGCAGAACAGGCACTATTAGAATGGATCCCCGTTAACAGTCGCCTGTGTGCTGTCCGGCTAAATGGCTCCGTAAGAACTCGGAAGGATAGGGACACACGTCGTTGCCTTTTCGTCGTTTCTGCATACGCTCCCACTGACTGCAGCCATGATGAGGTGAAAGATGACTTTTACAGAAAGCTCTCTGAGCTTCTTCAGAAAGCTAAGCGCTCAGACATAGTAGTCGTAGCGGGTGACTTTAATGCCCAGGTAGGCAGCTTAAATCAAACAGAAAGACATCTAGGTGGGTGTTTTAGTATTCCGGCTCAACGAACCGATAATGGTGATCGTCTGATGCAACTATGCTCAGACAATCGTTTATTTTTGGCAAGCACTAATTTTAAACATAAGGAGAGACATCGTCTAACATGGCGACCACCTGCACCAAACCAACGATGGACTCAAATAGACCATATTGTCATCAGTCATCGTTGGAGAGGCTCAATAGAAAATTGTCGCTCGTATTGGAATACTTGTTTAGACTCTGATCACGCTTTAATACGAGCACGCATTTGTCTGCGCCTCAATGGACGCAGGAAAAGTAAACTAAGAAGACCCGTTAGGATTGAACTGGAGGACGAGAAAGCCAAATGCGAATTCCAGAGACAACTGAGTTCACATCTAGGCAGTTCTGTAAACGAGACTGACCCAGATGCTGCTTGGAAAGACACACGAACAGCTGTGGAAACGGCAGTAACATCTATTAGTCATTTAAACCATAGGGCTCCAAAAAACCAGTGGATTTCTTCTAAGTCTATTTCACTGATGGATTCGCGTAAACTCATCCCATCAGGCTCTGAACATGACGAAGAGCGTAAACAAATTAGATCTAGGTTAACTAAAAGTCTAAGGAACGATCGTGAGCAGTGGTGGGCAACGAAAGCAAAAGAGATGGAAAAGGCAGCGGCTGTAGGCAACACCAGGCAACTATTCAGACTAATAAAAGAAACTGGAATTAAGAAGTCAAGTGTAAGTGAGACGATCTCGGAAAAAGATGGAACCCTTATCTGCTCTCTACCCAAACGTTTAGAACGATGGGCGGAACACTTTAAGGAGCAGTTTAGCTGGCCTTCAGCTACTGCACAACTACCCACTATTCCTAGAAAACCTGAATGGAACATTGAAGTAGGCCCCTCGACCCTACTTGAAGTTCAAAAGGCCATAGGTAATCTGAAACGAGGAAGAGCAGCTGGTCCAGATGGATTGGCTCCAGAGGTCTTTAAATATGGTGGTCCAATTCTAGCGACTAGGTTGACTGACATTCTGGCTAAAATCTGGGAGACGGATGTAATCCCATCCGACTGGTGACAATCACTAATTGTCCCAATATATAAGAAGGGACCAAAATCATCCTGCGATGACCATAGAGGGATTAGTCTGACTAACATAGTATCTAAAATACTAGCCTCAATAATTATCAGGCGCCTAACTAAAACTCGTGAACTGCAAACACGAGAAAATCAGGCTGGCTTCAGACCTGGTCGTGGCTGTATCGACCACATATTCACCATTCGTCAAGTTTTAGAGCACAGACACGCTTATCGGCGTCCGACAATGATAGTTTTTCTTGACTTGAAAGCAGCATTTGACTCTGTAGACCGAGAGGTTCTGTGGCAGTGTCTGTCATTGAAAGGTGTACCTAAGAAGTACATAAACCTTGTGAAGACTCTTTACTCGAACACTACCAGTCGAGTCGGAGCTTATGGCGAACTGTCATATGATTTTACAACCTCAAGTGGTGTCCGTCAAGGCTGTCCACTATCCCCATTTTTGTTTGACTTCATTATAGACCTGTTGCTGGAAATAACACTCTCTTCGACTGAATTTACAGGAATTGATCTCCTACCAGGGGGACCACTAAGCGACTTAGAATACGCAGATGACATAGTCCTGTTTGGTGAAGACACTGACAAAATGCAGAGTCTTCTGTTGGAACTCAGTAATAATGCCAGGATGTTTGGGATGCGTTTCTCCCCATCCAAATGTAAATTGTTACTCCAGGACTGGCCTACGTCAACACCTGAACTAAGGATAGGGAGTGAAGTAGTCGAACGCGTCGACAACTTCACTTATCTTGGAAGTCTGATCAGCCCTAATGGGTTGGTTGAGCTCTCTCTTACAGACAAATTCCAACAAATACAGAATCCTTTTTAAGAAAATCGTTAAAATTTTCGTTAACCATCGAACACGTATATGAGCATTTTTTGAAAATTAGTTTTGATAGAAATTCAGATATGAAGATTTCCTGAGGTATTTCTTGATGTTTCATTAACCAAAACTCAAAATCTAGTGTAGTACAATTTTATTTTGTTGAGTCGGCTTCCGGAGAACTTCAACAGAGCCCAAAAGGAGCCGAAGAGCCCTAGCCAATCAGAGTATGATAGAACATTCTAGAATTTCAACGTGGCGTGCTACTATTGGTCGGTAGCATATTATGTCGTTAACGGATTGGCTGAAATATGATGTTGATTTAACAGACGCTAACATCTATAAATACCCATGATTTTCTGTACAAGAACAAACTTTGGAGTAAAGTATTTTTTCTCCCATACTTGCGTCTTCTCTCTGATGTTCAAGTCGCTGAGTAGTTCTAGCCTGTGGGTTACCTGAATAGCTTAGGAAAACGAATACAGCGTTCAAACCGACAAGACTTATCATAATCAAAGCAATTACACTGTTATATTTCAATTGAACGGTTCACTTATGTTTAAAAATTAGTGAAAACATTGATGGGTAGCTTTGTCTATTTATTACTTTCAATCATCATCAAAACGATACTGCATATTGATTCAGTTAGCTAAATGTTTTCATATCGTCGTCAGCTTGGTCGGTAAAAATTCAACAAGTCGTAACGAACAGAAAATTTGCGACCAGTTTCTGTAATTTCACTTTTAATGAATAGGAATTAACATAAACTTTTAGTATCAGGTTATAATCACTCCTTTTCGCAAAAGGAGATGAGTTTCATATGAACTTTGATTTTTAATTAATCGTCGATTATGGGATATGCTTTCCTAATAATCCAGCTAGCAATTTTGTTTAGCACGACTAAATACATATACAGAACGTCAGAGAAACTAAAGAACTGCAACATTCATGGGATGCACGGTCACACAGTTAGTTATAGACAATGTAGAATCTGACACAGATGCTCATGTGTCTAAGTGATTCGAAAAACATCAGCAGTGTAAAAGAACGAAATAATAAAGTGGGAAGAACAGGAATTGAAATAATATTCATTATTCTATGGCATAAACAATTTGAGAATATTATCCATGTGGATGGTTAGAGAGCCTATAAGAGTTATCCAAGATGAAGCTATAATAATTGATCCGTCGTTCATATGCGTCATTTTGTCGACTCATGTTTGGTATCTACATTAATGTTATTGAAGCTATGGAGTCAAGTTTACAAAAATATTGTCATTTAGATAAAGGTTCTAAAGTCAAGATGACTTTTATTTTAATGTTGATAAACCGGTGGAGATACTGAATACGTTTACTAATCACTTGAAAAAATATATACTTCCTAGCTTCTTGGGTTCTCTGTTGTCAATTATTCGTTTATACCATCTCCATTCTGATTAACTAGTAAGTGTGTAAATTTTCTCCATTTCAATTTAAAAATCACTCGAGATTGTCAGCATAATTTCTTCAGATGACTCAGACTTGTGTTTTCTTACAAGTTGGCATTCTCATCAATAAGTTATAACTGTAATAATCTTGAAGGAGTTAACCACTTCTGCAGGATTTATATTATAATCTCACTGATAAAGTTTGAATAATACTATGAACTATAAAACATGATACTGGTTACTATCAATAAGTAATTAAAAATAATCATAATAAATGATAATAACAAATGTTAAGTGATCGGTAACAAACATACGTACCGTACTCCAAGTGTTTGTTTTATTTTGTAAATGCATAGCTGGCTGAAGACTATTTATATCCCTTTTATTTACCAGACGAGGTTTTCCTCTCAAAGATAATCTTGTTGAATGCTGTTGTACATTTGATGGAGTAACTGACGGCTGTGATGATTTTCCGTGATAAATATAAAACTGTAAGCAAAAAGCAATAATGGAAAGAGGAGAAAAAAACCATTAAATAAAAAAATATTGAAGACAAAAATAAATAAAAAATTACAAAATGTAAATTAATATGAAGGTCTATAAGGATCTTCCAGTCTCATGTTTAATGTCACGGAACGATGTAAATTAAAAAGCCACTGAAAACTAGGAACAACTGGACGGTTATTTCATCAGAGTATGGGACTCCTCAGCAGTGGGCATCTACAAACCTGCTACCAAGACACAAAACCATAATTTACGGTCTCGTGAAAACGCCTAATTTCTAGACCACCAGTATGATTACATTTGAGAGTTGATTCCAATGCTTTTTTGAGAAGCTGTAATCAGTGGAGTCCAACTGAGTCAAATGTCAGGCGATTTCACTCCTATTATGTTGATAAATGGTTGTTTGATATTATAAATTAACTAAAGTTAAACATATAAACCATCGAATGCCATCCTTGTGGTTTAAAGGTTGAACAGTTGTGCGTGAGACTAAAAACAATCGGTTCGAGTCCTCATGATAGAGTCGTAGATGAACACTGTTGGAAAGTCCTATACCAAGACGAGATAGCTGTCCAATGATTTCAGGTTTTCGGAGGCTATTTAAACATGATCGTTCCATGATGTTACTCAAGATACAAATTGTTAGAAACCTGACATGATCCACGTACTCTTCATTTGATCAAATGAATAATCAAAAGAAAAAAAGTATCGCATAAACTAATCAGATTCATTTGAATAGAAAAAGTAATTACAATACAATTTTATTACAAATGTGCGTGTTACTGTAAGTTTAGCAATAGATGGTAAATATAGACTTTAGATTCAATACGGTATTTATTTGCTCAAAATACCAAAGTTGGTTTATTTTGATTTTAAAACGAAAGGGACAGTTGCCTTAAGACCCACTAAGAATTATCATGTTAAACAAGCGAATGAAATATGAAGAATCGTGTTTCGTAGTTGATTGAATCACGTCATCACATTTGTCAAGAGCATGTACTACAAAAAAACAGGTAGAAAAAGACAAAAATACCAGCGGGTTGTGTTTACATTTTTGTAATTAGTCAATTTTTGTGTGAAGTTTGATTGATTATCTGAGATTTAGTAGTGCCAGAAGCTGCTGAAAATTTGGAAAACACTAAGTATCTATCTCATTTTTATTTCAGGAGCTTCCTAATAGTCAGGAAACGCGATTAAACAACAGAATCAACCTAGAATGTTTATGCCTTGCACCGAACAATAAATTTGAACAAAACAACAATTTAGCCTCCATTGTTTCTCAGTGATTCTCTAATTAGTATAAATTTATAAGTGAAGCATAGACTTTGTGGTTCAACTACTACTTATGCAATCAACAGTTTGATCATAGTCTACTTCCATAGAAAGATATTTTATGTTACCATTATGACTTTAATATGGCTTCTAGTACATGTTACTTAATGTATATTTTTTTGGGCCTAAATCTGACTCCATATGAGATCGTATGAATGATTGTTGTCAAAGTATACATCCTGTCTATCATCGTATTTAAAACATGACGTAATCCGCGTTGATGAACAACAGAGTTAAATAAGTGAAATACGAGAATGGATCTAGAATACATATATTTTGTACACTAATTGATCTGGACAGGCAATCAGAAGGATGAAGTGAATAGAAGAGAGCAAAGCAGAGACGAGACACATTGGAGATGGCGGGTAAGCCAACTTGCTCTAATCAAACGTTAATCAATATTTATAGTCAGATAAAAATAAGTTACATACATGTGATAAAAGGTGATAAAAAGTGCACACACACACGCTCATATGAAAATGGTCAGGGTTAATAAGTGAGTAATTAACAAGATCAAAATGTGACTTCTGATGGGTAGGTGGTAAATTGGCTTATCCAGAAGCTAGAATAAGGGGGGTATATGGGCTTAAACATTATCAACCGACACTACAATATACACTTCAGTATTATTTTATATAATCTGATTAACATTTTTTTAGAAAAAAAAAGAATTAGATGTTAAGCTTGAATAACTTAATTATCAACATAAATGATTTATCTCATGTGATTTGAATGTAAACCATGTTTATTTGTTTTTCTTGATTAATTATAGATAATTTCTAATTTTCATAAGATTGTCAAGAGAAAAATGGACTATTTCAGCATATAAGATTATTCAGTTGAAAAGTAAACATTTGAAATGAAAAAAACGATGTACACTTCTCATCTATTTAGTAGATAATGGATCCACGCTGCTGAGGAGTCCCACAATAGGACGAAACGGCCATCCAATGCTTCCAGGTTTTCAATGGTGGTCTAGCTTCAGTTGACTCAATTTCAACTTACTGATTGACTTTCAGGAGTGAATTGAATAGTTTTTAATGATAACTGAGATAATTTAATCGATATCTTCACATTAGTTTACATTCATATGATGAATACTATATTTTAGCTAGAGGCTACTTGTACGATTCAGAAAGTACACTTCACTTATCACATGAAATCGAATCATTTTTTTTAATCTAAAGTTTGTGGCCGTTAAGTCATTCAGTATAGAAGTACACATACCTGTTAATGTAACTATTGGTACATTAAATAACTAATTCTAAGGAAAAACTCTATCAGAATAGTTCACTGTATAAATCTAAAACTGTGTAAATTATCAAGATATATTGTGAATGTAATAAGTAAGCATATAAAAAAAATCTTACTTCAGATTGTATGGCATTGCTATTCACTTTTCTCATCATGAATGGATCCTTTTCAGAGACTTGAAGCATAGCTTCACATGATACATTAAAACATCGTCTACTTATGTTATTTTGTTCATCTTTACATAACCATTGAACATGTTTCAAAGCATTCATATAACTTAACACACCTGAACTACCATGAATAAGGAATCCATTTGAACGTTGAAATACTTTTATATCATTTTTGATATATTCAGGATTTAAAATGATATATTCTGAAATAGATAAAATATTATCTACACCATTGAATTGATCGCCTTTGCATAAATCAATTGTACATGATGAAATTGTTTGCTGAAATTCCGAAGCTAAGTATTGAAAATAATGTAAAAAGAAAAGTGAAATTTTGTTTGACTGATATAGTTTGAATAAATGGCGCAAAATTTAAATCGAGTGATTTTGAAGAAGCTGATGTCAATCTATACCAAAAAATTGGTAATAAAATAGTAGAAGTTAATTGCCAAGTACATATCTTCTAACAGATTTTGGAATAAGAAAAAACCAAAAAAAATTTTTTTAGTTAATCTACATCAATGAAAATTCATAAAACACCATCAGTATGATTACGGGGGGAAAGCTATATCACAGTGTTAATAGAATTTCTACGCAACTTACATTTTGTTTGACTTTACATTTAGGTGATAAATAGACTTCATTTGTTTTAAAATATCATATGTATGTGTTGTTTCCCGAAGAGAATTGTGAATGGTAACTTTAGAGGACTATTTATGGACCAATGTATTATGTATATTTCCTATTGTATAACTGTTAAGTAACTTAACTATTCATATTCATGTTCCTCTTAAAAGCTTTATTTTGACATATAAACTATATTATTATACGATGTACCATTATTGAGTTATCCCCAGTCTATTGATTACTGTTCTTACTTTCCACAGCCACATTTGACTAAATATTGTACAAATGTTATTTTCTATTTCATGGTAAGATGTGGTCAAATTGATTGCTATATAAACCCAGTATGTTTGTGAATAATGATTCATATTGCAGAGGCTGTTATTGGTGTTCTGGACTTAACTGGCTGGGCTAGGCAGAAAGCAAGACTGATAAGTACTCAAGACTGCTCATACAGTTTTTGTGTATCATTGCTTCGATCGATAATTCGCTCTCCTCTCATTGGCGGGAATCAGCACGTTCATATATCAAACTTGGCACACGCGTATACACACGATATAACAGTATGGTGTGAAGTTTGGGTTTAGTCTATAATACAGACTTCAACAAAATGTGAAAATATGAAAAAAAGAACTATTCGAATGTTTTAAAGTGAATTCATAGCAGGATTTCAACAATTTCTATAATTTTGTTTATAAGTGTTTGTATTTTTCAGTTATTTTTGTTAAGAACTTCAAGTGATCAGTTTCTGTTGGCATCTATGAGTCTTAAGCGAACCGTCTCGATATTGTCATTTATTCACATGTTTTGTCGGTTAGATAGTGTCTCGCACTAGAATCCAGGACGTAAGTTTCTTCCTATTTAGGATTCCTTAAGTGAATGGACATGGATTCAAGTGTTGATATTCACATTAGGAATAAAACCCAATAACTTTTCTGCGAATATCAACGCCTTATCGACTGAGCTACTGAATCCACATGAATTGACATACCAACAACACGAAAATGCAAACTCCTACAAATCAAATACACAAATACTGAACAAGCTATTGAATATATACACTAAGCAACACAGTGCATAATGCGTTTAATGTTTAAAGTAAGAAGTAGTAAATTAGAGTTTCAATGTGAATGTCAAACGAGAATGGGAGATACATCCAGCTGACGAGTCCCAAATAGGACGAAGTGTATGTCCTTGATTTCACCACTAACCAATACATCATATAATAGGTAGAGTTCAGTCACAATGCCAGTATATTTCTTTACTGCCAGTCAACTTAAAAAGATTCATTCGTTAACTTAGTATGATTTCAAAATTCTTGGAGAATTCACTAACAACTTAGATATTGTTCTTTTGGCTGTTTTTTCCTGTGTGAAAGCAAGAAAACTCTTCACTAATAAATAGAAAAACAAAATCAGAAAAGGTTTTGGTAGAAATTTAGCATTTTCATAGTTGAAAGCGTCAGTCAAGTGAAGCTAGACCACAAGGGAAAACCTAAAAGCACTGGACGGCCGATTTGTCCTATTGTGGGACTCCTCAGCAGTGCGCATCCATGACCTCGTCTCGCGAGACTCGAACACAGGACCTAGCAGTCTCGCGCACGAGCACTTATTCGATAGGTCCTGGGTTTGAATCTCGCGAGTGCGGGATCATGGATGCGCACTGCTGAGGAGTCCCATAATAGGACGAAACGGCCATCTAGTGCTTTTAGGTTTCCCATGGTAGTCTAGCTTCAACTGACTCACGATTTCAACTATGAAAAACAAAATATAGAATTTTATTATAATTATGGGTACAGGTACACAAAGAATCAGTTCGAAAAATAGACGGTGATGATTGATTTATATGATCAAGAACTTTAAAAAAGAATGAAATCAACATTGATAGAAACTGAATTTAATCAATTTTGTAACCACTCCCTTTTTATTAGATTTATTTAGCTTTTTCCAGTGGTATTTCTAGAGTAAAGAAATATGATTTTAGTAAATTAAAACAAAAATATAACAGTCCGTTAAATTCATTGAATATTGTTTGTTGGAATCTTTCCATCGATTTGTTAGGACTGCAACTGGTCAGTCTCTAATTGGCATATGTGCATATTGTGCGTATTGCTTCGATACAGCCTTAATTCACAAACATGGTAAGCAGAGATGGATAGTGGCTAGCAGTGGAACCCAGCTTGAAACGCGTTTCGTCCCATTCGGGACTCGTCAGCTAGATGTACCTGCATCTCACTGTTGATGTTCACTCTGGGACTCGAATCCAGTACCTTTCGCTTCAAATGCCATCGCGTTATCCACTCGGCCACTGAGTCATGATAGCCACTTGCTTGTGCGATGGGGTACATCAAGGTACATCCAGCTGACGAGTCCCAAATAGGACGAAACGCACGTCCTGGATTCCACTGCGATTCCGTTAATTTGTTCATAGCACTTATTAACCAGAGCTTAGGATGGGTTTATCACTCAATTGGAAATTATTAACAAGAAAATGCTTATATTTGCATTGAATAGATTTATCATTCTATGCTGTCAGCGTATAGAAATAAATATAATTTATTATAAGTCTACCAGTCATTAACAAAGAAAATACCTAGAACATTTGTGCATCGATCGGTTCAAGTTGCTGTACCACACAAGTACTGTCAAATGGAGTTATCAAGTTTAATCCCAGTTTAGTTGAAGTAGTAACAATAGGTATGGTATTAACAAATATTAGGACATAAACGAAATGATTTAAGAAAAGTAGACGAATTCTCGAAATGAAAGGTATAAACATCTTAAAATATGAACTGAATATCTTTACGCCATTGTGACAGATTTTGAGTGAGGTTACTGTCTCTGACCCCTCTTTACGATAATTGCCAGTACTCCACACTGACAGTGTTCATCTACTGAGTAGGTTCAATCCAAATTTCGATATATTCATGAACTGGTATCATGTTTTGACACGCGCACCAACAGCTTGAACAGTTATGATACTGAAAAATATGCTAATCATAACTTGCGTTATGCTCACCGCAAGATTTGGAAGTCCTAAACTGAATCACCTATTCGGTGATAACTATACGCCTTCCAATCAACTCAAGCAGCTGTTCAGTACACCTCCGATTCTTGAAAGTTCTCTCCACTAGCTGATATCAATTCAAGGAAACAAATAATTTACGTAAAACACGCAAATAGCATAGTTAAGATCTGGGGATTTTTTCTTATTATGATTGTTTATGGTCCACCGGGGTGTTTGGTAGCTGAGTGGTTGCGACACAGGATTGGGCTGTACTGTAGCGTTAAAGCCTATATAGTGTCTGGTTCTCCTATAGGGCGGGATTGAGCTGTACTACTTGGGTTGCCGCGTGAAATCTAGATGGTGTCTGGTTCTCTTAAAAACCAGTGCAAGATTACCCTGGCCTATAAGGGTATATTATATAACTGAATAATGATTGTTTAATAAAAACATAAAAAAGTAATTTTTACATAAACAATTCAGATCAATTTTCTGTCTCATATTTATTGATTAATGACCAAAATGAGAACTTTGATGAATGTTATTTTTATGATAGGAATGTTATTACAGATTCCTCTTATTTCATTCTATAGATGATTTGTTTTTTATCATCATCCATATACAACAAATGTATTTTTATACAGAATATATTCTTAGCATATTAAAAATACATCTATTCTTTTCACCACTGGATCCGTTTGTATGTAAATAGGAATAATGTTGAACTTAAAATTGGACATTTAAAACTGGCTCTCTCGAAGTATATATATACATATACATATGGGTTAACTAGTGGGTATTCTTATAGCAAATGCATTTTTATTTATTTCTACAGTGATGCACAAATGTATTCGTTTATCAACAATAATTGATTACTACAATACATATTGGCAAGATGATAATTTTTCTAGGCAGAGGGAGTTGGAGATTTTCCATTTTTCTTTTATTTATAGTTATGTAATTGTTTGGAAAAGCTTGTTTCCAACATGATAGATAATTTGAATTATTTACTGACATAGAAACTGTTTTGCTAAAAGATTTATATTAAATGAGGAATTACTAAGATGCAATGAAATAATGGAAAATTAAAATTAAACAAATATCCTCTAAACTGTGTTTCAGTTATTTATTTATTTAAACAAATAAATATTGGTACACAGGAGTACCAGATGTATATTCGCCACATAAATCTCATTTGATTTGTGTGTGGACTGTGGCACTGCCCAGGTGCCCAAACTGAAGCAGGTGGTTTTCTCAGGGGGCCGCACCCCGAGCCTTCGACCTAAAAGTCTAACCCACAAGGCAGTGGAGCATCGTGAGGAGATGCAGTCCCATGGTAGACGGTGACTAACAATTGGTTCATACGCCATTTGCTCCCTCAGCATACCGGAGACCATGTGTACTATTGGTTTGGAATCAGGGTTTTCCAACTCCCTTAAATGGACTTTCCGTGTCCACTGGCCTGGTTACAGCGCCGAACATTCGCTTTTCGTCCTCTCACTTTCGTGAACAACACCCCTGCCACGAGAAGGCAGTGGGTAGGACTTCCACGGTAGAGGCTATATACGCGTGACCATGCGAGAGCATTTCGAGAGGGACTGTGGCCCCTCTTCACTCTCCGCCGTACAAGGGCATTTCAGTAAGATCACTCAAATGGCCCAATGCCCTGTAACCACTAAAACTACTATATAGACTTGTTCTATTTTTATCCTGGTTATTGTTTGCTAATTTGATGATGTACCGTTTAACAGATTGAGATGTCGCATAATTATATGGAAATAAACTATGTATGAGAATCACCATTTAAATATTAAAGACACAAAGTTCAGCGAAGGGATTTATTTTAAACAAATTTATTATTAAGCTCTACATAGTTTTAAGTGATTGAAAAACGATTCATCGATGTCTATTAAACAGTCCTACAAACTGACATGAAAGGTAAAAATAGGGAAAGCACAGCAGCGGCAACTCGCTGTTTATGTCATTTTATTTTGGAACACATTTCTTCATCCAAAGCACACCTAATTGGGTTATTAAAACTTTGAATAGGATTTTACAGATAGGAGTTGTGAAGATTTCTGAGGTCCATTGAAATTATGAACTGATCTAAGTTAGACCACGGTTGATAACCTGGAAGCGCTAGAATGTCGTTTCGTCCCAGTATTAGACTCCTCTTTAGTGTGCACCCACTATATAGCATGACGGAATCTAATTCAGGACCTTTAGTCTAGAGCGCGGACGCCAAACCTCTAGACCACTGATCTGACATCCAACGGTGTTACTGCCTAATGTTTGTCAGTCCACAACACTTGTTGGCCATCTTTCACTGTCTTTGGTGGGTAGTTGCCTCACACTCAACGCGGATTGTCCTACACAACAAAATAGTCACTCAAGGCCACTAAATACATGAATCAGTAATTGATCACTGAGTTGTGGTTAGTAAAATTAGATATCACAATGATTACTTCAAAAGATGTACACGTTAGTAGTAGTAGTAGTAGAGTTATTGATGGATTAAATAGAGTGCTAAATATAAACAGGACACTATTTTAATGTTGTTATTAATAACAGTTTATAATTTCCCGTTGTTTACAGTCATGATTAAATCTAATCAGAATCTCTTCACATACGGGAACCTCGAATGAATGTTTCGATGCAGTGACTGTAGTCACAAGTTAATTATATGTTTTAGATAGTGTTTAATAATGGCATCTAAGAAGTGAGTTTCTTCCTCTTTATGGCTTAATAGCTGGATGCACCTCCTTCCGAGAAGTGATTTTCTTAATGATGCTCAGTCTTAACGATCGTTCTAAAAAGACCAACAAAAGGTATTTAAACATGTTGAAATATTGAGCACATAGTATATCGGGAAAAATAACTTATCATACAAAAAATCCTCAAATATGATACTATTTCTTCTTACATGTACTATGCAAATTCAACACTTCTGATGGGGTTTTCCACATGATTGTTATGTATGGAAATATATAGACTCCAGTAGATAAACTGTTTTTTGTGAGATTTCTCGATGTGAATGTCTTGTTCACATGTTCATATTGTTCTGCATTAAACAGTACAAGTGAATTGACTGGTAATGATGTTGATATTTCATCAAATGACTGATGTATCGATTTGTTTCGATGAATAGAAGCTGGTTGATGAACATTAGATTGTTGATAATCGTGACTTGGTTGATTATGATGACCATGGCACCGTTTATGAAGATATCGATCCGTACGAATATTTGAGTTCCATGTATCAAGTGAAATCAACGTTTGTTCAGTTGGAGGTAATGGACTAATTAGAATTACTTGATTAAATGTTGAGGGTATTTCACAATCTGTTGCATAGCTATGAATGGATTGAAACGAAATAGTATGAAATAACACTGATAACTTCTTAAATAAGTAATGCAGTTATCTAAAATTCTGAAATGGTATCACTAATTTTTTTCAAAACTTTTTCAAAAAGTTCGGATATACTCAAAATAGATTGATTTCATCAACTTCTTCGGTGAATTCCACAAGTCAACATATTTATGTTCCCGTTGTAATCTGATCGATCAAGCAGATAAATCACTTCTTATTCCGAGATCTTTTCAAGTCATATAAATAGGCATTCGGTTTCTGTACTCAAGTTAAACTACGATCGAATCGAGCTGTTAGTTATTGACACAGTCTAAAAATAGTATATTCAGCAATACCTGTAGATTCTATAACTTCGATCTATGTTTAGTTCGCAAGTAAGGATTGTTAAGTAATTCCATACAGTAGGATGAAGCAATGGCTGTGCACCTCTTGATTTTCAATATTCCTTCATAGCTAATTTCAGTCCATATTCAAAAGTAAAAGTAAGACAATCTTCCCAAATCTCTCATGCTAACAAGTATTCCTTTATTTTAATTTTTATTCTCCTTTTGATTGATAGTTTTGCTTTGATACTGCGAAAATTGAAATCACTTAGGAGTATCACTCGACTTTTCTTAAGATAACTGACTGCTTCATAGATAGTGTGTTACGATCCAATAATAATAATAATAATAATAATAATAATAATAATAATAATAATAATAATAATAATTATTATTATTATTATTATTATTATTATTATTATTATTATGATACAGTTCATTTGATGAAGCGAAAGTTTGAAAACGACACTCTATACCTGCTTCTCATCAATGAGAGAAATCTTCCGAACTACAAGAAGTCAAAGTCTACTAGAACTCACAAATTAGCGAACAAAAACATTCCTAATCCTACAATAAAACAGTACATTGGACAAAGTTGACTTCTTTTATATAAGGACACTAACTGTTTGTCGAACCCCATAGTGTCTTCGCTCAAATTAATCCACGCAAACGATTACGGATACATGTCTATCTGGGAAAATGTTGAAATTTTCGATAAAGAGGAAAATTTTTAGAGGATAATTTTTAAAACCCTGGCAATAACCTTAGATAGAAGTCAATTAACACATCTGAATCGACACACAGCAAAAATCATAGACAAATATATAAAACAGGAGTCAGATCAATGGCGGAAGCAATCAAAATTACTTTACAGATGATGACAAGATAAAAGCCAACAGTCATCGCTAAAGATCAAGGCTGACAGTGCAAGCTGCTAATCATATGCGGACGAGCTCGAATATCTCAATTCTTTTAAATCCTTAACCGATTGAAGTTATACGATCAATGAAACATGAGAGCAATGAACAAACGTTCCTTTCTGGTTTGCAACTCGTTAGAAGTGCGTGTCAATGACCCCATAGGAGGAAACCGAACCCAAAACCTGAGATCTCCCGTGCGACCTTTCAGCTTCTAAACCACTGAGATAGCATTCGATGGTGTAAAAGTTTAACTGGTTGAAGTTAGACATGTACATCTACAGGGTCCATCGAAGACAATGAAAAATGTTTGTGTAATATCCCGGACAAATCGAATTTAGACATGTACACTGTTCGATGATGGTTCAGTGGTATAGAGTCTATGGATTGTATGGGAGATTGACTACCTGGATACGATTCCCCATAGTGGGGTTACAGGTGCATGCTTTTCAAGAGTTTCATATAAAAGACGAAATCCTCATCCAATGCTTCCAGGTTTCAGTGGTTCTCTAACTTTGGTCACATCGTGATTTAAGTTACATCTGAAAACTTCCATAATAGCGTGATGACTACCGTCTCAATTCAACCTGAAGTTTTTCCTGATGATATTGTTCAGAAGAACAATGAAAGTTTTACGATAAAACCATCCCTCTGAGAGAAGGAAACTTCACCAAAAAATTAAACAATACTACATATCTTGACGTTTATATAAATTACTTACGTAAACAAAGTATTTAATTGTATGGCCACTGGTTCCGGTCGATATCGTGGTTTATATTGTAATCTTGGATTATAAAATGTCACGTTTCTTAGAATTTTCGATAATTCATTTAAACTTTTAGTTTGAATAATGATACTATTCAAATGAGAATTACGAATATTTGTTGTATCTAAATGATTAGTGTTTGAACTGAATGATGTTGGATCGTTGATAATTAGACGTGGTTCACAATTGGTCAGACAAAGTATTTCCTCATCCGATTGAATATATCCATTTGTATAAGTTAAACCAGCAAGATAACCCTTGTTTATGTATTTTCAATGGGGGAAATAAGACAGTGTGTGCATCAATGGCATTCAGTAATAATAACAATAATAATAATAATAATAAACGCAACTACATTGATCATCGTGAAAGTAGGACCAAAATTTCACTGATTAAAAAGTAACCTACAATAATAACTTTAACTAGAAATCGCTTATTTAAAAAAGAGCAGTGTATTATCGAGAAATTTTAAACCAGGATAGAATAGTAATCTATTGTCTGTTAATTATCAGTAGTTATCCGGTTGATTTAGTGTATGGCGCATATTACCTTTAATTAGTATAAAATCTATAAAGACATCTGTAAACAGTAGCTGTTTCATTAATGCAACACTCATGATGACCTTATAGAATTTTATCGGGTAAACTCTGATTATCATAGTTGAAACCATGGGTCAATTGAAGCCAGACGAGTATGGAAAATCTGGAAGCACTCGGCGGCCGTTTCGTCCCATTATGGGACTCCTCAGCAGTGCGCATCCACGATCCCGCACTCGCGAGATTCGAACCCAGGACCTACCAATCTCGAGTCGGAGCCCTTAACCGATAGACCACTGATTAGACAGGGAATTGTACAGCTAACTCCATCTGAATTTCATAGTAATAAAGATCTTCTCTTTGATAAGTATCACTTGGGGTGATACTGTCTTTCTATAATCAGAAAGAAGGATAAGGTAATGTTGATACTGTGAACAACGTCTCTACCTTTGCCCCAAAAGTTTACGATGGTGACAATAAGGTGAAAAAAAACTATGACGCTATCCACGCTTTATCGCTAGATGTTGTCCATATGTACACAATGCTAACGAATTTAGTTCACAGTATAGTGATTTTGAAAGCCCATTAATTACGATGTAATGATTTCAATAAACCTTTCTTCCTTAAACTCTTATTTCAGACTTTTGTTGGACATTAGCGTTGCATTTTAAAGGAAACAAACAACCATCACAGAATACGTCGAGCCAAGCACACATAATTTATGTTCCACTAAGCGTTTACCCATTTCTTTCTTCCCAACATACTTGATTATCAAATTTTCAAATCGAGTTTCACAATGTGGATTATTTTTCCTCATTATATTAATTTGATTTGTAAGAACTTGAGTTAATGCCTGATTATGCCAGGTTCTACGTGACTGACCATCCACTGACTGCATCATATTATAAAAATAAACTAATAGATTAAGAAAAAACGATAATAATCATAAATAAAAGACTTACGACAAAATGTTGAGCAAATTGAGCACTACGTCCATGCCAACAAGCACCAACTGAAGTACGAACAAATTCATGATTTTTAACAGATAAATGTACCATAGGCATATTTTCAGCAATTTGCACTAGTTCAGGATTATTTGGTACTAATCGTCCGTCCAAATATAATTGTAACTACATAAACAACAGAGAAGATATTATAATAGTGATAATGACTAATAGTTTTGTTATTTCCCAAAAACAAGATTTCATTAGGAATGGTGATTTCGTGTTAACAGTTAAGCTAACCGAAACATTATCTAAGATCTAGAATTAGGACGTGATCTGACTGGTCTTGATTGATGATGATCTCAGTCTATGTCGAAGGATCAAAAAGCCTTTGTGATCGATATGAAATAGTTGTTTTGATTAATGCAATATCAAAATGTTAACCTATATGATCAGTCAACGCCAAACGGTAGTCAAGATGACCTAACCTGTAAAAATCAAGCTGTTTTACAACCTGTAAGAGGATGTATTGATTAAATTTGTAAACTTCTACAGGTTTTAAAACAGAAACACATGCCGACACCCGAATGTAATCTTGTTCGCTAAGATAATCCTGGTATTTTGCTTCATTGATCTGGGAGTTTTTGACAGCACTTGTAACTTAATATGTTACTTAATATGTTAATATGTTAAATTTTTAAAGGCTCTTTACTGAAAGGCAATTGTTGTTTTACAACTTGTGGCAAACTGCCATTTAAATTGGGAACCCCAGTTGTTGTTCGTTAAGCCTGTATACTCTCCTCATACACTTGGAATTTGTGAATGATAGTGTCCTGTTTGGTGATAGCTCTATAAAAACCCAAGTATCGAATGAAGTATTTGCAAGGGTTCAGAAGCATCAGTTGGCTTTTGCCGATTTAGATCACATTTAGGGAAGAGATGCCCGTTTTCCAACCAAAAGACAAATATATCATTCCGTGGTCTGCTATATATTAGTGTATGGCTGTGAAACATAGTTCATAAAAGAGAAACATAGGCTAAATGTAATTGCCCCCAGATGTATTCGAGACATTGGTTCTATTTTGTGGGATATTCAAAGTTAATTAACAAGGTTGTGGACCATCATCAAAAAAGATGGCTGAAACTTGTGCTAAATATGCCCAACCATCACCTATCTCGACATATTACGCTTGTTGGTGTAGGAGTAGGTTGAAAGAAAACTAAAAATGGACAAAGCACCAAATGACATTAGTTAGTGATATCTCTGACTGTTAGATGAGCCGTATTTGAAGATGCAAACTACCTAGTTAGGGCCTGCTTAATAACTTCGATTAGTTGGTTGGAAATTTTGGAGTAGCATAGTTCAAAATCAATCGCAGTAGCATAGATACATGCATTCTACAAAATTAATTCACATTAACCAATATTCGAATGCATTTCTTCGTTTCGAACTGTATTGTCCCATATCCAGTTTTTCTCGATATTATTGATATCATTATTATCTGAACTACTTTGCGGTATGTGACAACCTGGGCTGATTCACTTTTGTGACAACCCCTATGTGGATGATAACTCCCTGACTGATTTTACATGGATAATCCATTTATTGAGTATCATTTGTTTGGTTACAACAAGTAACTATCTATATAAATATGACAATATAATCCATCCTTATCGTTTATTCGTTTAACTCCTGAGTACTCACAATAAGTACATATAAATTTACTTAAACAGTGATTGGTTGCAGTTACTCTTCTTATATGAAAGTTTACAACTAATTTTGTTCCTATGACACATCCTTCACTGCATAATACAAATTTAATGAATGAGACCCAATGTTCAAAGAACGCAGAATAAAGAAAATACACTAACCACGTTGGTAGTTCCGCTAAAATGTTGTAGTATTTAGCTTCGTGATAGTTTGCAAGTTTTTACATATGCGTCAAACCAGGGGATTTATTTAATTGGATGGTTAGGATACATAATTAATTAGTTAAGGTAAATCTCAGCAGATGTAGAACGTTTTACAAGATTTTCTCCGTAAAAAAATAGATAATATAAATATTTGATCAGTCTACTAGAACATTTTGTAATACAGGACTTCAAAACAGTCCACTTTTTTTCACATAATGAAATGCATAACAAGACTGACACATTCTAATCTATCTACCATGAAGAACTACTCAAAATGTATCAGTAATTTGATCTGTTACATCCAGTCAAGACTAAATGAATGGTAACTTCCAGGAATTATCTGTGGACTATTATATATTCTTACAATATAATTATTACGAAACTGTGTAAAATGTGTTTATAATTGATTGGTCACTGGGTGGTGATCAATGTCATGCGTGTCATATCCTTCTTAGTGCTGATCGAATGCTATCGATCAAGTTGCAATGTGGCCATCAGTCTAGGTGGCTCGACACTGCTTGCACTATATATATTGAAGTAAGATGGCGGTTGGAGGTGGTCAACAGGCCACATTGCAATTTGATCGATAGCATTCGATCAGCACTAAGAAGTACATGACACGCATGACATTGATCACCGCCCAGTGACCAATCAATTGTGATTACATCTCAGTTCTACAGGAGTTCGGTCGCGGCCGGAATAGCTCAGTGGTAACGTCTCTGACTGTGAAGCTGAGTGACACGGGATCGGATCCGCCAGGGAGCATCAGTTCCCTCAGAATTACAGGTGCATCTTGCTGACGAGTGCCAAGTAGCACAAAACCCGGGTCCAGGGTTTCCTGTTGACCACCTCCAACCATCATCTTACCTCAAAATGTATTTATATTCCTTTTATGATAAGCTTTCATTCAACTAAGTAACTGCTAATATACGATGTACCACTTGATTTATTCTCATTCTCTTAGTTATAGTCCTCCATATCTCAGCCACTTTGGCATGGTTATGTAAAATTGTTATTTCTCATTTGATGATCTGACGCAGCCTGATCTGCTTGTACATAAACCAAGTATGTGTGAAGTATATGGTTCATACATAAAAGGGGTTGATATTGTGTTCTGGATTCAACAGACGAGGAAAGAGGAGAGTTAACGTATAGAGGACTGAGAGTGTTTTAGAGTTTAATGAAAGCTACTAGTGCTAGGCCGAGAGTTATTGGTTAGCTCATGGACAAGATCGTGGGAGTCTACATTTTAGTTGGCGGTTTTAGTCACGTAATACGTACAGGGCAATAAGTTACAACATGATCAAATTTACCAAAACAAATGTAATAACTTAGCAGGCAATTTTGTATGTCAGATTGAAAGACGAACTCGACGGTATATAAACATTAGACATTCAAAGTCCTGACTAGTATATCCGAATGGTTTTCTTAAGGGTCTAATTAATACTAGTTCGGCTAGTACTATTACTGTAGACTAAAAAGTAGTAAACAAATATTTTTACGCTAATCCAAGACTCTTTGATATCTCACATATATAACCTTATCAAATTTCGAAACCATGAGCTGCATCTACAAAAGGGAGCACTTAACCTATAAAGCAATGTGTCGGTATACAATACTTCATATTCACAAAATACGGAGAATCCAAGTTAAAGACGAAATAAGCTTCGATATTCTTGGGGATAAATGATCCTGGAAGGTCACTATTCTAGGTATTTACCTAAAACTAACTAGGAATAGTGGACCAGTAAATAACAAGTGAATACCAAAAATAGGGATCAAGTTCCTAGCAAAAACTCAATGATTATGCATTTATCTTTGTTGATATAAGAATCATGTATCATCTTGTGTAACTGAGTTGTCCATTTTTAGACAGTAAAATATCTGATGGTGATATGTTTACACATGTTTCAAAAGTGTGATGAACTGCCGAAAAAAAACCATTTGGTTCATTACAAAACACATTAAACTATTGTATTTTATCAACCGAAATCTTAAGAATACACTAAAGAAATTCACAATACATTATCAAATACAAATTAATTTATTAACCAAAACATTTCAATAATGATCAACTGTTGAGTAGTAACCAATGTCGTACTCATCATTACCATAGTGTTACTCACACTGAATCAGTAAACTCACTTAGTTAAGTAATTTGCCGGCATGACAAAATCAATAGGAGTCCCTCGATTTTTGTTTTATCTCACTGACTACTAGTCAACAAGACATATACGTAAACTCGAGAAGAATAATCCTATGACATTGGATTTACACTTGTGTTACTCGATGATCTAGTCAGAGACTCTCAAGTCTCAATTAACCTACAAAATATATTTATAACAACTCATTATTCAGTAGTAGCCGGTTATATTCTCTTGCACTCAGTAGTAGTGTTGATGCATACTCATCAATCAGTTTGCTGCAAGATTCAACATAATTCTCGTTGAAGATTACTAGTGTAAAAATCTAGTTACTTAATAGTTACAAGACAACTGATATGGAGTATCGATTCATAAACCGATAAAATATTCTTACAAAAGCAGTTGATTTCTGCTGCATTCACAAAATTCTAGTCACGACGATTTTATATCTAACCTAATTCAGGATCAAAGATTATAACCCTGTTCATATGCGAAAATTAACCAACATTGAATGCCAATTCGAGGAAAAACGATCACAATATACTGACTTCAATATCACTTTCTGAGTTGGATCCCAGGGTCTTTTGTCCATTTACAACTGTCGTTTCTGGTGGACGATAGGTCAACGAATAATGGTGCCAATTCGAATCGCATACTTCATCGACATCGAAACGCCATTGAGATGGAAGTAGTTGAGACGAATCGGATGATAGGATGGATTCATTGGTCGGTTCACGACGTATCAGCACAACCAGTTTACAATTGTGCAGAAACACAGCAAAATGATGCCGATTCTTTTCTTCAACAGAATAATAATAATAATAATAATAATAATAATAATAATAATAATAATAAAAGTATCCATTAGTCTAATGATATCGCTTTTAAAATAACTGATTGTGAGAGGAAATGAAATTGTATTTGTGCTGGCAAGTCAGTTGACGACGTTATGAGCAAACTTCCAAAAGTAATGCCAACCGACATGTTTGTGATCAGACACACCTCTTTCAACGTAAATTCAGTATGTTGTATACAGCACTCGTGGTCAATTTCACTTCACATAAGTGTCATGAATGTTAGAGTATGAAATGCAATCTCTGGTGAAAAACATATTTCAATGTGTAGCACTCATCCATCCACGTGAACGAAAACAATACACCGACTGAACTCTGGAAGGGTTGTGAACAACCCTAACCAGCAAGCAGCATTCAATTTATGAATTGATTCAGCGTCTACATTGACTCACATTGATAAGAATAAGTTCATTTCGGCATCGTTCAGTCAAACTGATATGATATAAATGCAAAATTATTTCCAATGAGTACTATTAATTATTCGGGTTCTAAGTAAAACATAAATTCATGCAAATTATTTGCAAATAATGTCATTATTGAAGGATTGAATAAGCAGTACTGTAGTATAGGTAAGAGTGTTAACAATAAGGATTTGTTGATTGGAGTATATGTGGAGTATATGTAGTCTCTTCTATCAAGAAACATCAAATTTATAGCCACAAATTGCAGCGAAATATGTCTCTCACCAATGAATACACAAAAGAGTTGTACGTGATTCCTTTCAATGATCCCGACAAGTATGAAACAATAGGTCGATATTTGTTCCTTGTTCCACAAACTAGGAAGACAATGAAGGCAATCAAACAACCCAACTTAACATGGTCAGTGAGTGTGTCTGTGGAGGTCACAGTTTGTATATTGCTTTCATAATTCCCGTTTTATTCACAATAATTTCTCCCAACACATAATGAAAATCGTATAATGTTTTGATGTACGGTGAACTTTTACAAGCTAATTATTTGTTAGCAAAAGTTACTGTCATTCTGAATGACGAATGAGTATTTTAAAAAAGGACATACATTTGAATTGTTATCATCGTAATGGAGAAATACAATGTAGTGATGAGGGAGATTTTCAACCCAAGTAGATAATGTTAGTAGTATTGTATTCTATTACCTAGATGGTTTACTTGTGTCCGTCCGAAAAAGTATTCTGATTGTCGATTTCCCCTTTTAAACAACCCACTGAAAATGTGTTGTAATGGAATTATCCATCTCATATAATACAATACTAACGTAACAAATCACAAAATATAAAGTAGCAGGTAATTAAAGTTATATATTTTTCAACAACACGAAAGGGAAATATACATTTTGGATAATAAGCTAATATTACCAGGGCGTATACTACCGTTTATTGAAGCCTTACACATACGAAAATTCAAACTCCTTTTGTGTATTCAAAAACAGTTTGTTCTCACCTTAAACCTACCCTGGTAATATTTGCTTATTATCCAGAGTGATTAGATATCAAATTGTTTTCCTATTATTATTATTATTATTATTATTATTATTATCCTAGTCTACTCTTACCCTCCATTCCCAGTCTAATTGACCTTTTATTTTAATATATAAATGTTCTTAACAAGTGTGTGCTCAGATTGTTCGAAATGTATTGCACTAATATATCACCACATAGTTCTGATAATCTTCGTCTTCTTATTACGATATCGAAATTTATCAAAGGGACTAATTAAATTCATTTAGTATCGTTTGTTCGAATCTTCCCATCGATGCGTTAGGACTGCAACTGGTCAGTCTCAAATTGGCATATGTGCATACTGTGCGTGTTGCCTCGATACAGCCTAAATATCGAGGCAATACGCACAGTATGCATATATGCCAATTAGAGACTGACCAGTTGCAGTCCTAACGCATCGATGGGAAGATTCAAACAAATAATACTAAGTTGAATTTAAACTTCGCCCCATCGCACAAGCAAGTGGTTATCAGGACTCAGTGGCCGAGTGGATAACGCGATGGCGTTTGAAGCGAAGGTACTGGGTTCGAGTCCCAGAGTGAACATCAACTCTGAGATGCAGGTACATCCAGCTGACGAGACCCAAATAGGACGAAACGAGCGTCAAGCTGGATTCTACTGCTAGCCACTATCTATCTTTGCTTACAAAGGGACTAGTTGCTTTAAATATACGCTTTCATTTGTAATGTGATTTCAAAGGGGGGTGAGGTGGGGTTGGGGTAGAAACAAAACAAACAATAATCACCAATTTGACTTACCATATTCATCTGAACTACATAAAATATTCTCTCGTAAATTTTTTTCATTATTTCTATTGAATATTGATGAATGCTTCATCCAAAAATTTATTGTAAATAATTGATTATCAAAATGGTGTAATTTATGAAATTTATGATATTTATTTATATCATAATACATTGAACCATTAAAATAATAAATATTAGATGGATAAGATTTTTTATTATTATATTTAGGTAATTCATTTATTCCTTGAATAGTTTCAACAATAGGTAAATTGATATCATCATTTGATTGGTGTCGTTCATCTGGTAACAGGTCGATGATTTTACTTTGAGATGAAAGAACTGGAAAAAAAATAACACGATTATAATGTGAATATTTACAGTCAGTCAGCTACAATGTAGGACCAGGCATATTTATGCATCGGTCCAAGTTGCCATAACTCATTAGTACAACAAGATCAACACCGGATTCATAGAAATACTTAATTTAGTGGTGATAATATATAAAAGACAGGTTGTATAAAAGGGTATAGTATAGGAAGGAAGAAAGTCATGAACCAGTTTTAATCTCAAGGTTTAAGGGAAGATAAAGAGTGTATACACCTACGCCATCGTGATCGATTCTGAGCCATGTCACCTAGAGTCTCCAAACATTGGTTACGATAGTCACGCGAACCCCAACCAAATAGTCTGCATCTGCCAACATGGCTCAGACCAGCAGTTATTAACTTCAAACACTGATGCCACGTTTTGGTTTGGCAGCCCCTAACTTTTTTTCAACCATCCCCTACACTAGTCAGCATTTCGCGTCTTGGTAATCGGTGTTCAGGCATACGTAACACGTGGCCTAACCATCTCAGTCGATGAATATTCATAACCTCATCAACTGATTTACCATCGTTCCCTAATACCCTGTGTCTATTACTATTGCTCACCCGGTGATCCTAGAAGATGCAAGAAATATCTCTGAGACATCTGTGGTCAAATACTAGTAACTTACGAGTATCTTCTACTCTTAATGGCCATGTTTCACAACCGTAAAGTAGAACAGAGCGAACTGCTACGCAGTATACTCGTCCCTTGATTGATAGGCGGATGTCTCGTCTTCTCCAAAGATGACGTAAGTTGGCAAAAGCCAAACGAGCTTTTTGAATCCGTGCTGAGATTTCGTCAGACACCAACCAATTAGGGCAGATCAGACTCCCAAGATAAGGGAAGTTGTCGACGCGTTTGACTACTTCACCCCCTATCCTTAATGGTAATAGGGTATACAGTTCAAGATATATATATATATATATATACCATTTTGATTGATTTTGAACTATGATATTCAATGGTTTCAGTAATTATTGATTAAGATGATTAATGTTAGGATATATATCTTCGTATATTATTTAGATCATGATTTTATTACACTGTTGGTATATCTTGTTTTAACTGATTTTACACTTATTCAAGCTTACTCCTAGCATAGTTATTATGAATTCTTTCGAAATAAGTGATGAATGAACTTTTATGCTATATTAGTAAATTTAGTTTAATATTTTCATCGGTCAGTTTGTTGTCTTGACCAAACCGATGGCTTCATTATAACAGATGAATAGTTTAGAGTTATATGCGGTCGGATACTGGCAACGTATCATAGAACTTAATCTTCAAAATCCATCGTTTACAACTACATGTATCTAAAATGGACTGCTGTGCACTATCCCGAGCAAAATCTGATCCAGAATTTTACGTAGTTCTTGGGAGAGGGGCATAAAATTGTGCATCATTAATCAGCATAGTAGGTCAATAGATATCAGTCTAAAAAATCACTATCGTGAAATTAAATCTAAAAATCGTGCTTGACAACAAAGGGTGTAGCACTTATGGATATGTATGCATTTCGAGAGTAATAAGTTGATTTGATCCGAATCTTTCATGTGTATATAGTGTATATTCGACCAAAAAAGACCGTTACTTAGCCCGTATTTAATGTGTAGTTGGATAACTTGGATTTAACAGTAATGGACAGTAAATAAAAGAAGGGGAGTGGAGTTAATCCTCCCCTTCCAAAGTGGCATCTATGCTTGTGAGCGTACTACAGGATGCATAAGTTGATTTGATTTGTGTAACTCAGGTGTGCATGCAATGTATACTTTTCACAGAGAGCAGCTTCAATCTGTCTTCTTAAACTGAGTAGCAAATATCTAAATAACCCTGAAATCTTAACAGTTGTCTCTGGGGTTTTCCTGATCGATTTCCACTTGAAACATACATCCTAGCTCAGATGCATCTGCCAGTGTGAACACGTAAACTTGTCCAGGCACCATAATTTTTTATTAATAAACAGATGGATGACTTTCTTGAGTTACGAGTATTAGAAGTTCATAACAGGCCAAAGAATTAGATAATTGGGACTGAATACCAAAAAATGATCTTTGTTTATGGAAAGATAAATTACATAAACTCTACAAAGTCAGTTTAGTTATAGGTAGTTACTAAATTATAGATTATATCAAAAAGAGCTTGAACTCTCCAACATAAACTAAGTAGCCTGTGATCTCTTGGTTCAGTTAAATAAAAACTCATTGATTTTTATATTTTGCACCAACCAGTGAATTCCGATCATTGGAACATTTGTACGTAATTCTTGTGCAGTGATTAGTTCAAAGAACATGAAGCAAAAAGATAATATACACCAGAGAGAAAAAATATGTACAGTCTTAGGAAGTCTTAAGATTGAACCGAAGATCCTTTCCAATTTTAAATAATTCAGAACTGAAGCCTATAGTTCAACTACCACTTTCAGCAGTGAGAATTCTTATTCCATTGAATTAGATTGATTTAAACCAAAATTAATTGTAAATTACTTAGTAATCAAAATATTTGGAAATATGAAGTGCCTTAATCCATAACATCCAATACAGATACAACATTTGAAATATGCTTACCCAAATAGTTATGTGAGTGAGCGGGTTGAGAAATGCCTAGGAATAATTAAATATATAAATCCCTGACGTCCATACATACATGACCTTGAAGAAGAGAACAATCGAATTCCTTTTATAGAGAGCCTCATCTGAATCTTCTCACCTACCACTTGACCCTGGGCTGGTATATGAAAATAACTATGTAGTCAGGAGTTACAGATTTTGTACTGGAAAGTCTTAATCTAAGACATCCAAAGTCATCTATAATTCATTGGCTTACAGTTGTTCACCAGCTGGTACTATCTCGTAATAAAAATAATAAACTCTCTACAAAAAATTAACTGAAAATATACCCAAATCAGGGAACAATTACTTACTGCATGTTTTACGGTTAGCCAGTAATGAATAATAATCCAAATCACATTCTGAAGATGTTGTTGTTGCTGCCGATAACGATGGAGATGGTTGATTAGTTTGATCATCATGAATAATAATATCTTCTTTACTCCATAAAATTTTCATACGTAATGTCACTTGTTCTATTGGACAATAATCATATTCAGTGATTACTTCGTCTAAATCATCAGCTTTACCATCAGATATGTCATCATTATCAGTACCAATAAGATTAGTGAAATTGTTATTTCTTTGTGGACAAATTGAAAATTTTGCATTCGATGCAAATGGATATGGATTTGATAATGCCGAGTACTCAATTTCTTTAGGGATACCTAAAGATAAAAGTTGATAGAAATAAGAAGATGAATTTTACCGTAGATGCTCTATCACGAAATCCTATTACAAAGTTAATGACATTTAAATAACGTACCCTGAATCAGAATCTTTCTTCTGTTCAGTAAAGAAAAGGAAACATAATCACATGGTCGGTTATTATTTTTTCAAAGTTGAAATCATGATTCAATTGAAGCTAGACAACCATGGAAAACCTGGAAGCACTGGATGGCCGTTTCGTCCTATTATGGGACTCCTCATCAGTGCGCATCCACGATCCCGCGAAACGAAATGGCCGTCCAGTGCTTCCAGGTTTTCCATGGTGGTCTAGCGTCAATTGAATCATGATTTCAACTTTGAGATATACTGAAATCTCCACAAAACCCTTTCAGATTATTATTTCTTATTTAAATTGAGCATTGAAAGAAACAATACACAACTGCCAAAATTTTGTTAATTTCTGCTACTTTTGAATTTGATATCAATAAATGACGAGGGTTATGTGACCGATCTTATATTATTTCTTTAAAATTGTTATAATAATTACAATATATGTGAAAATCATATTTGAAATAATCTCAGAGATTGAAATTTAAATAATTCCAACGTTTCGTCCGGCTAACTTGTATGAACTTCTTCAGGGTAGTTCGGACAAGTTAACTGGACGAAGAGTTGGAATTATTTAAATTTCAATCGCTGAGACTATTTCAAATATAATGTTCATATATATTGACTTCTCTATACTCGGCGCCCAATTTTTGTCAAGCCATTCGTTCTAATCTTAATGAATATTCGTATAAATGATTAAAATAGTTATATAATCAATTGGTAATTGCTTTAAATTTTGGTTCATCACTTCGGATCGATAAATTACAAACATTCATCTAAGGGTACATTGAAAAGTTAACCCAGACAGAGAGAATCTTCTGTTCAAATAGAAGTAATCTAAATTCTAGTCAAAAGTGCGAAGACGTATAGAAAGGTTTACAAAAAAACACATATAGGTCGTCTTTCGGGTGAACACATAATGTCATCTAAAAAACATCTATCAAACTAGTAATCATGTACGATATTAAGTCTTGAAGAGTCTATAGTCATCTCAGAAATCATTACTAGGTTACTGACTATGGAATCACTTCGATGTATACTATCTAAATACTATTTAATCTAACCAGCTTTCTATTCACTTATTCGAATTAAAGTTCAATATTGCACTGTTTTTGAAAAACAATCAATTCGACTGTTATTAGTAAGTATTGTACACGTTAATGGCTACCTGGACTCAGTAAGCCATGGACTAACGTGTTGAAAGTTAAAGCGAGGGATCATGGGTTTAAGTCCCAATATAAACATAAACACTGGGACCCATATAGTCCTAAGTAGGACAAAACACATGACGTGGATTTCAACGCCAGCAGATTTTCGCATTCATTTACAATCACGTAGTTTTACAATTAAAATGAGTGAACGTTAAAAGTGAGCATAAGTCGTAGATATACTCATCTGATCACTTGCAATGTTGTATATACACTCAAGCTATTGTTAGAGAGCAAAAATATAATCACTAAAACAGTGAAGTGGCAAAACAATAAATATCATACTATATTAAAGAGTGTGTATTTCGATGTAAGACGAAAAGAAATAGATTGGATAGAATTAGACATTGGAAAACAGAAAGCATGAGTCAATGAAGTGAGCTAATATGGGTGTGTGTGTGTGTATGAACAATAAGTTAACAAGCACAGGTATACTCGAACATGCATAAATATTTAGAGGAAACAGATTTCAATTAGCTTGTAGTAAATGGTAAATTAAAAAATTACAAGTGTCAATATATAACATTTGTGTTTTCAAAAAAATGCTAAAGTTTTCATTCCACGTACACAAACTTATGTACGTACTGTACATAAATAAATAAAATGTTTCATCTTTCCTTTCTACAGTTCTATTCCATTAAAATACCATTATTATATAATAACCAGACATAGGCGACTAGAGATATACAGTAAAGATCAGTACACATCCACACGCACACACACACACTGGTACACCTATGTTATACATTATTTTCATGGTTAAGTAACTTTCCAATGTACAATTTTGATGTAACAAATCTACAGTAAATAGAAAAGCCATTTAAACAAAACTGAATCAAGAGTAGGAGTGAGGGAGAGGAATTAAATAACTATTGAAACAGGAAATAAATATTTCATTTTTTTTTTGGTCCTTAGTAATGTATGGCAAATGCAATATTGACGGTAAAAACTCAATTATTCAGGGACATTATTCACAAGATAGTCGCCTAGTCAATACTAAATAGTTAGAACAATTTGGAATTTGCAGAACATCAAGCAGTTTTTGGTAGGAAATTAGTTTCAAAGTAAAAAAATGTAGCTACTGTTTACATTAAAAAAAACCATTTCAATTTGATACATAAGGATGTTGAGTATGCATGTAACATTGTTTGGAGTATAAAGACTGATTACGAAGCGGTACTGCAATGTACACAGATATGGTCTAAAGGTATTGTGCACTTAATACGAGATCGGAAGATTTCAAGATTATTGAACTGGCATTGTCGACAACGTTTTCAATGGCAAATCTCTGTATTGTTTCCAGCATTTACGATCAAATAATGAGTTTGTGAAAATTCATTTTACATCAAAATATTATGCGATTTTCATTATGTGTTAGGAGAAATTATTGTGAAAAAGACAGAAATTATGAAAGCAATATACAAACTGTGACCTCCACAGACACACTCACTGACCATGTTAAGTTAGGTTGTTTAATTTCATCGATTGTTTTCCTAGTTTATCGAACAAGGAAAAAATATCAACCTATTGTTTCACACTTGTCGGGATCACTGACGCGAATCACGTACAACTCTTTTGTGTATTCATTGGTGTTGGGGATGTCAAATCCCCAGAACTTACTTGGTAAATGGCTTAATCTTGTAGTTTTATTTTGAAAATTTGAATTTAGCTGTTTTCGCGCCAAAAGCGCTCTTTTTACCTTCACGTCATATTTCCCACCTGTAAACTATCTTAACCGCTATTGGTCCATTGTTTCTTTATGTGTGCTATTTACTAATGATGCTCAAGGACAATTTGTTACTGTATAAATGCGCTTGACTTTTCCCCTTATTTGATTGTTTGTACTCGGCTGCTTACGGAATACATATATATTCCCCTACATGCCTTGGACTTCTTCATCTAGTTAGCGGGGCCTGGGACAACAGATTAGAATAGCTTATCGTGTCATTGTGTCATTGGCTTTCGTTCGTTACCGCGGAATCGATTTAGTGTCAAGCATAACAATTGGTGAAAGACATATTTTGCTACAACTTGTGGCTATGAATTTGATGTTTCTTGATAGAAGAAACTACTACATACATACGTGTTACGTATGCCTGAACATCGATTACCACGACGCGCTATGCTGACTAGTATTGGCGATGGTTGGAAGAGAGTTAGGGGCGGCCAAACCAAAACGTGGAATCAGTGCGTAAAGTCACTAACTTCTAGTTTGAGCCATGTTGGCAGATGCAGACTACTTGGTTGGGGTCCACGTGACTATCGTAACCAATGTTTGGAGACTCTAGGTGACATGGCTCAGAATCGATCACGATGGCGTAGGTGTATACACTCTTTATCTTCCCTTAAACCTTGAGATTAAAATTACATAATCTTTTCTAATTTCCAAAGTAGGCTTTTCACCAAAAGTTTTAAGCGTTGACTCATATAACGAAATGTATGACACAATTATCTTATAACTCTAGATGAAGTTAATCAAAAATGAATATATACATATAAAAATAATGCTCTTACCATTCCATTGTGATACACACATTGCTTTTACATAAACTGTTACCGGCACTGTAGAACTGTACGGTATTGGAAGATGACAATCAAATCCAGTTACATTGAATTCATACAACATATCTGTATGATTATTAAATCTTATCAAAGATCGAATGACACCTAAAATTCATCAATGAATGATAAAACAAATAAATTAGAATAATAAAGAAAATATTTCCATTCCAATCTAATTAAATTAATAATATTAACCGGTTTGTCAACAATAAGAGCAAACAATTCGATATCATCTGCGAAGAATCAGTGAAAAAACCATAATGATAGACAGCTGTTTTGCCCTAATCTGGAACTCCTCAGAACGGCATAGCAACAAATTCATACTGAGTCAATCCTAGCATTTTCCGATCTGGTATATACGATGACACTATCTGATCAACAGATTCTAAAGGGGCCCGATTTAATAGGCATGAACAGATTTGATAGGGCAAGACATTATTATATGTCAGATCATAAACTTAAATACACTATCAATGAAATTCTACCCAGAAACCGAATTGTCCAGAATGAAGTTAAGAGCTGTTTTGTCTTGGTAAGTAAACTTTAAAAAGAAAACACTTTAAAGCACTAATAAGCACTCAAATCATGGTAAGTGGTAAATAGTTTAGGTATAGCATTATCTACCAAAATTCACGACAACATTCAAAAATGCATATTTTAAGATGGAGTTGTCTATTTTTATGGAAAACGAATTTAACTCGTCTTCCATCAATTGACAACCATAATTAATCATTTTTATTTCTAAATAACCCTTACAAGATGTGTTAACACAACTATTTCCCAATCATCTTTCAAGAATATAATCAAAATAAACAAATCAAATATATATGTAGTGGATAACATGATAACGTTTGAAGCGAACGGTACTGGGTTCGAGTCCCAGAGTGAACATCAACTATGAGATGCACGTACGTCCGGCGGATGAGTCCCAAATAGGACGAAACGCGCGTCAAACTGGATTCCACTGCTAGCCACTATCCATCTTTGCTTACAAATATATACTACTGTTTGACAGTTTGAGTAGCTGGATATCGCATTGCTATAGAGAAAGTAAACGAAATACATGGACATAGCAATCTGGTTACTCAGTAATTATGCAACAAAATTATAAATCATAATAACTTTTAAAAAAACCGCTTCTAAATTCCGTTATAACAAACGTTATATACAATGAACATTTATTGGAACAGCATCAGTTTTGGAGTCTTTTCTCTCAATAAAACAAGATATGATTTATATAACTTTTTTTAAATGGATACAAAAACTAAGAGTTTGCAATAAATGTGTTGTAAAACTGTCACAGATTACCCTTTAATATAAGATCTCAGTACGAAACAACTTTTGGGATCCAACATAAGATGAAAAGAACAAATGAAATACTTAACATGTATAACAAAACAACGATCGAATGTACTCAGGACAATTACTAAGACATACAACTGGAGCATATATTACATTAAGTAACAAACTAATGAGAGTACAACTACTGTAGGTAACACGTCTAAGAGTGGATCACAATGGTACAGATGCATTCAATCTTCATTTTCTTTGAGATTTTAAATTTTAAAATTATCCTATGCTATTTGTATTTCTGTTTGTGTGATCCAGAAAATTTCTCGCAATAGACAAAAAAGGCTCAATACACATTAAGAAGCATTTTAGCCAATCAGCGTTTGACTAGTTTTGCCAGAAACATCATGAAAGTGAAAAGTCACATGTAGAGTTTCTGACTGGCTGTTTACTACACCGCCACTATGTTTAGTAGCATTCCAGATTTTTCAGGAAAACCCAAAGACTTCTAAAATACTATAAAAACCCTATATTTTCTGCACATAAATGAACCTTTGGAATAAAGTGCTTCTCGCATATTTTACGCCTTTCCTCTCGTGTTCAAAACGCTGTGTGCATTTAGCTTGGGAGTTACGAGACAAACTTATGATCCGAGTATAGCGTTCAGTTAGCAAGACTTATCAATTTCATGAATTCATTCTTTTCTCCTATAACTGATTATATTGTTATTTATATTATCCTAGTATTTGTTATGATAATTGCTTCTCGTTATGTTCATATAGTGTGACAGCTTTAACCAATTTATTAGATCCTATGATGCTTACGGCTGATTGACTATATTCAAAGTAGTAACATTCTAATCGCTTTACAAAACCATTTACCCATAAAAAAATAGATGGCCCATTTCCACAAGTTATACATAAAAATAAACTTAACAATTGGGTGTATAGAAAATATCTCTCGTTTTACCAATTATAAGTGTCATTAACATAGTTTGACTTGATAATTTCAAATAAATTGAGTATTAGGTAGACAGTTATGAATAAGTTAATAATATTTATTTGTAAATGTTCCAATGAGTAGGGAAACTAGATTTTCCTGACGTTTCGTAACTCAGTCCAAGCCACTTCTTCAGAGTAAATGAATAACCAAATTGATTTATTTTACCAGTTAATTAAATTACTTAAAATAATAATTTTCAATATAAACTGATGGGTTTTTTTCAACAGTTGAGATCATGATTCAATTGAAGCCAGACCACCATGGAAAATCTGGAAGCAATGGACGGCCGTTTCGTTTTATTGTGGAACTCCCCATCAGTGCGCATCCACGATCCCGCCTCACGAGATTCGAACACAGGACCTATCGGTCTCACTCGCGAGCGCTTAACCCTTAGAATACTGAGCCGGCATCCAGCGGTGTTAATGTCTAACTTCAACCAATCCACGAAATTGAGTGACATATCCACCATTGCCTTCAGTGAGTTGATATCTCATAACAGACCCGGTTTTCCATGGTAGCCTAGTTTCAATTGACTCATGATCTCAACTACTGAAGTTACTATAATGCACACAAAACCCATTCTGATATTTTTGTCAATAAATTAATAAAATGTGCATATAACATAACAATAATTGATAACATTAATTCAAATTATTCATGTGTAATATTACAATATAGCGTATTAATAAATTTTATTCAATACACATTGAATTAAACAATTATGTACAATTTACAACCTTGTACATGGATACAATGGTTCAATTTATTAGATTTTATTGGTACAACGAGATAAAATAACCATGGCAAATTCTAGATTATTTACGATAATAAACAACAAGATTAGCAATCAAAGATACAATTTTGAAAAGAAAAAAATTGTTTCTAAGGTAAGCAAAGATGGATAGTGGCTAGCAGTAGAATCCAGCTTGAAGCGCGTTTCGTTCTATTTGGGATATACCTGCATGTCAGATGAAACGCACGTCCAGTATTCCACTGCTAGCCACTATCCATCTTTGCTTACCATGCTTGTGAAATAAGGTTATATCGAGGCAATACGCACAGTATGCACATATGCCAATTAGAGACTGACCAGTTGCAGTCCTAAAACATCAATAGGAAGGTTCAAACAAAAAAACTAAGTGAATGTTTCTAAGGTAGTTTGGAAACCTAGAATGTAAGGGAAGACAATCAGTGAATGTACCTACGCCACTGAGAAAAATTCCCATCCACTACTAATAATATCATATTATCTTCATGTTATATACTTTTCATTTTAATAATTACTTTTCTCTTTCTCTCTGTATTGACGATATTGTAGTGAACAGAACACGAGTGGGGACAATCAAATTTATTTAGACACAAATAACAGACTATCTCTCTAAATTCTGATAACCATACAGCAAACAGTTGATTTGAAAAATAAAAACCAATTGTCTCAATCTTCACTGTTCCTTCTGTAAATATCAGTTCATCTTCTTTAATTTAATTGCTTGTGCATTTTCCTACCAATCGCGCTTCATTTCGGTTCTTTCCTTATCGGTCTTCTGCCAAAATACATTGTATGTCTGACCCTCACTATATACTAGTTATATGGATATAAGTAGACCACACCACAATATGAACTGTGACAGCCTGCAATGAGGCACTTTTATGCAAGATCATAAATTTTAAATAATTAATTGAATGAATGTATGATTTCAACGAGTTACGATTCCACAGTAAAAACTTAAGATGACTATGAAGGTATTTGTTGATAATATGACTTCATGAATTGGACACCCATATTTTTTAACTAAGATTAGTCATAAATTCAAATCATATTCCATTTCTTTTTGAGTCTAGTCTGATTCAACTACTATCAACTTATTGAAATGTTTCGCCAGTTTACGAGGATAAAGAAGAAGAAACCTTGTTTGTGAAAATGGAGTGCCATATAGCGAATGACTTTTACTTACAGTTCATGCCCCCAAATGTCCTTGTACGGCCGAAAGTGAGGAGAGTCCGCTTTCCCTCTGTAAATGCTCTCACATGGCCACGCGTATATAGCCTCTGCCAGGGAAGTCCTACTCACTGACTTCTCGTGGCACTATTGTTGCTTACGAAATCAAGAGGACTATAAGCGAATGTCCGGCGCTTTAACCGGGTTGGTGGACACTGCGAGTCCACCTAGGGAAGTTGGAAAACCCTGATCCCAAACCAATGGTGCACATGGGCTCCAGTATCCTGAGGGAACAAATGGCGTATGAATCAATCGTTGGTCACCTGCTACCATGGGACCGCATTTCCTCACGATGCTCCACTGCCTTGTGAATGAGATCTTCAGGTCGAAGGCTCCGGGTGTGGCCTTCTGAGAAAACCACCTGTTTCAGTTTGGTCACCTAGGCAGTATCACAACCTTCACACAAATCAAATGAGATTTGTGTGGCACATATATCTGGTGCTTCCTTGTACCAATAATAATGCGTTTAAATAATAAATTACATGTACACTGATAAGTAGGCAGCATAATTAGACGATAAACTTGGTTAGCTACATTGTCTACCGGTTTATTTACTATAGCTAGATTATACTTTCTTCTAACTTATCTAGCAACTATGAAGTATAAGATGTATATCAAACAATACATTATCTAAAATGACCCCCAGTTTTTCCTATTCTTTTTATAATATATATTAAATGAAAATCAGCATAATGGAAAATTATAAATAAATCTAATGAAATACATACAAATGTCATTATGATAGATGTATGCACACACACATACATACAAACATGGTAACATGTTGATGGTCTACGAAATAACCAAGTGCTTA